TTTTGGAGAATAAGTTGCCTGAATGAAACTTCCACCTTACTAATGGAATACTATGAAAAGGAGAATGAGTCGACTCTGTATACGTGGCATGGTGGCTTCTAGCAGCGAAGATTTAGTGGAACTAAAGAGTATAGCAGCGTGGAATATATAATGATTCCTCACCCACAAGGCCGCGCAAACGCTTTTGAACTCTAAGAAATGAGGATCATTGTTATAATAGGCGATAAGGAAGTGTCCTTGTAAAAGTCAGGTACTTGTGGAGAAAACGGAGCAATGAAATAAGCCAAGATCTCGACATGATGGAAAGGAGACAGTAAACTCTGACAAGATACGGAACGGAGTACAGAAAATTACACAATGAAATAAGGACCAAATGCAGGCAAGCTAAAGAAGAATGGCTAAACGAAAAATGTGCAGAAATGGAAAGATTGAGTACCACCAACAAAAGAGACATGCACAAACAAATAAGACAACTAACAGTACAGAAGACATGCTCGTCAAGAGGTCGCCTAAAACCAAAGGATGGAACACTCATATTAGAGAAGGAAAAAATTCTTCCAACACTGGAGCGAGTATATTGGAGAACTCTTCCACGACATAAGGGAACAACCAGCAATACACAGAACTACAGACGGACCCGGAATTCTGAAAACAGAAGTAAAAGCCGCACTGGCCAAATTGAACAGGAACAAAGCAGCTGGGCCAGACGGAATTGTAGCGGAAATGTTGACAGACTTAGATGACTTTCGCATAGACAAGATCACCAAAATAACAAATGAAATCTACAACAGCGGGGATATACCGGAAGACCTCAGCAGATCTATCTTCATAGGTATGCCTAAGAAACCAGTCGCAAACGAATGCGAACTCAACAGAACAATATGCCTATTGGTCCACATGACAAAACTCATCATCCGTATTCTGTTGAATAGAGTGCGCAACAGAATCAGACCAGAGATAGGACAAGAACAGTGCGGGTTCATTAAAGATACTGGAACAAGGAACGCGATATTCATGTTATCAGAAAAAGCGATACAGGTGCAGAAAGATGTGTACCTATGTTTCATAGACTACGCAAAGGCCTTCGACAAAATACGCCACAAGAATCTGATGAAATTGCTCAGCAACTCTCATATATTCGGGAAAGATATCAGAATAATCAAGAACCTATACTGGTAGCAAACAGCATGCATGTGTATAGGGAACGAGTTCAATGAATATACAAAAATAGAAAGGGACATAAGACAAGGATGCGTCTTTTCACCCGACCTGTTCAACCTATTCTGAGAGAATTGGAAACCCTACCGGGATTTAGCATTAGCGGGCACAACCTTAACAGCATAAAATACGCAGATGATACAGTACTGATAGTAGACATAGAAAAGAAATCACAAAATCTCCTACAGAAGGCAGTGACGAAGAGTAAGAAGAAAGGAATAAAGTATAAACTACAAGTAGACAGAATAAATGATCATCAGTAAGAGGATGAACCCGAAATGCGATTTGCAGGACGGGAACACTAGAATCAAGCGGACAGAAGTTTAAATATCTGGGAAGAGTCTTGACAGAGGACGGTAAGTGCGACACTTGAGATCCGTAGACGTATTTTGATGGTCAAGGACACATTCCAAAAGCTGGGCAAATTATTGCGAGATAGGAAGATTTCTTTGGTAACAAAGAAAAGAATACTGAGCTGTTACGTGACATCTGCCCTTCTTTACGGCAGCGAATGTTGGACGATTTCCTCAAAGATGAAGAAGAGACTCGAGACGACAGAGATGTGGTTCTACAGAAGGATGCTAAGGATATCCTGGACCTAGCGTGTGAGCAACGATGAGGTCTTAGAGAGGTTGCAAACAAGGAGGTGGCTTATACTTAACATCAGGAAGAGGCAGCTGAAGTTTCTGGGACACATAATGAAGAAGGCGGGCCTAGAGAATCTGATACTCACGGGTCGAATAGAGGGAAAAAGAGACAAGGAAAAGCAGCGCGTGACATACCTGGCTTGCTTACGCAAGTAGATGACAGAACGTGGTCTGGTGGAGGAAGCAGAATGTAGGAACTTGTTGAGAGCTGCAAGGGATAGAGGGAGGTGGAGAGCCATGATCGCCTACGTCCTGAAAACACGTGGCACATAAAAAGAAAGAAAGAATGGAAAACCGAAATGGTCTGCCAACTTTTACTTTCTAATTTTTATTTTTTTTATTTTTGAAATAGCGATTTTTAAAAATTTTCTATCACTACAATCTTTCAAATCAAATACAACCGAAATTTATGTTCTAAGAATGCATTTAAAATGAGTTTTTCTGGGGTTTTTTGGTGGGGGGGCTTTTTTTTTTTAGAAAGTCTGTGGCGGTACCTAAAGAAAGAAAAAATAAATTCATTTTGTTTTTGTGATTGCAGACAAAAAGCAGCAATAAAAACCGCAACAACAAAATAAGAAAAAGGGAATGATATTTAAAAAATTGCTACCCAGGGGGAATCGCTCCTACAACCATGTCATGACTTAGGTTTTTTACATATTTTTAGTTTTAAAAGGCTTCGTCGATTCCGCGGGAAACAATGAGGAAATTTAATATAGTAATTATTTATTTGGAAGAAATTTTGACGGGGGATTGTTTCATTATACACCGCCGGTCTTACTATTACGATCTTCAATCTTGGGTAAGGTCAAATTTTCACGTGTCTTTAAATCACTTTCATGTATTATTACTTGTCTTTTTTTGTGTATCCTTTCAAATAAATTAATAAACAGTTTGATAATAATTAAAGCAAGTAAAGTTTTTTGGTTATAAATAGTTATGGTCACTGCAGCAACCGTTTGTTATTGAACTTGAAGAATTTCCCGTACTAAAAAAATAAAAATATTTCTTTCCATTGCTTAAGAAAACGATCGAACAGGCATTAAATAAATAGTTACTTGTCATCTTCATTATATACACATAATTTACAATTATTTCTTGTATTTCGTTAATGACTATTTGAATAAGTTATTGTTATTATTTCTTTCAACTTTTTACACAGTTGCCGGTATTTTTTTTGTATTAGTTTTTGTACAACTAATGAACCCGAAGATCATTTTTAAATTTTGTCATATTTTTCCTTCCCTAAAGTTATATTATTATTGTTTTATCAATTGATAGTTTTTTTATGTTTTATTAAATTTTTTTATCAGTTGATAGTTTTTTTGTATTGTCAAAAAAGTAGTAAAAATTGTTTTATATTGTATGTTAAAATAAATTTTAATTTAACATACAATAACAATTGAATAAAATAATTTTTATGTGTAGGACACAAGAAAAATAAAGGCAGCATATTTTCAAGCATGTTTGGACATCCTGGGTAAGACGCTAAACCTGCGTCCAACTGTAGGGACCTCTGATCGGGAGGTTTTAAGGAGCGTGGAGCCGCCTCTTGATTGCTGGTGTTCCCAGGTCCACGCTGGCCCGGGGTGGTGGCGCCTGTTGGGGTCCCGGTTATGGGCGAGTGATTAACCCTGAAACTGAGGTAAAAAGCATTATAAAAGTGTAAAAATAGGTTTTAAATACCAGAAATACTTTGTAAAAAATTATTACCAGAAATGAATTTTTGAAGAAATAAACTATTACCAGGAATATATTTTTGAAAAAAAAAAATTACCAGCAATACATTTTTTTAAAATAATATTACCAGCTATACATCTGTGAGAAAAAAAAATATTACCAGAAATAGATTTTTGACAAAACAAAATATTACCAAGAAAAAAAAGTTGCCGGCATTAAATAACCCATTGGGGTTGATATGCCGTAAAACAAACCAAACGAAGTATGTTTGGTTAAATAATTTAGATGTATTATGTCTATTTTTTTAGTTTTAATTCTTTCAAGTCCACAAATTAATTTTTTGGTGGCTGTAAAATTGACTAAGAAAAATTCCAACATTTTCTTTCAAATATTTTTATTTTTCCAAGTACTTTCAATCTCATTTGTGACCATTTTCCGAGATCACATATCTATCAGTGTGTTGTGTTAACACTAAATTCAAAATATATTTTTTACCTCTGTGCAAGGGAAGTAACTTATACGACTTTTTTAAAAAGATTTTTAATTGTAGTATTTTAATTTTGTATTTTTTATATAACACTTTGCTGCTAGAAACATTTAAGAATTTTGTTGCTATACTCATAGTTGATTTATTTTTGGCCACAATTCTCTTATATAAACGGTTTTCAGAATTTTAAGTTTTGCTTATTATCTTGATGGAGCACTGATGTATTTTCAACTAATATCTGTCTAAACTGTGAATGTGGACATGAATGTTCCTTTTAAATGTTCTGAGATTGAACTATGATTGTTCAAGTGAAACATAAGCCTTCCTGTCATCATCTTTGTTGTAAAACCAACATATGTATTATCATTTTTATCAGAGATGCAATCCCCTAAAAGACATTTAAATTGATATACAATGTTCATCTTTTGTAAGATGCTAGTTGACGGAGAAGAGCTGTCATGGATGACTAGGTTAGTTGTATTAAATTTAATATAGTATGTAATTAATTTTATTTTTTACTTGGATCAGTGGGGAATATATATAATATATATATATATATATATATATATCTCCCTACAAGAGTTTTTGAATTATCAAGTCCTTCCTGATTGTTAATGTCCAGTCCTCAGACACCCATAAGAGCAATACAGACATACCTTAATGCTTGCTTCTCAGCCCTACTTGCTTTCTGTTTGATATTAATGATCTGCCTAAGAGCATGCTACAATCTTTAGTGAATATCTATGCAGATAATACAACAGTATATGGGTGCATGTTCAAAAATCTAGATGAGCTGATCTCTCCCCCGATCTAGTTCAATAGGCAAAAAACTGGCTGGTCATATTCAGTACCTCAAAAACCAAACTAGTAAACAAGTGGACCTCGAATCTTTGTCTATTGTAATGAACAGGTGTTTTATCATGGAGACTTCTTGCTTTGAATACCTTTGGGACAGACACCCACTCCACTCATGTTGAAACACCAGTTCCCATATGATCACCAAAGTTAAGCAAAATCAAACTTGGTCAGTACCTAGATGGGTGACCACAGGAATACTAGGTGCTATAAGCTTGGATATGCAGGTGATGTAATGGATAATGGCTCTGAATTGTTAATTGGAGAGCCGAGTTCCAATTCCAGTTGGGCTCGTTATAGTCCCTTATTTGCAAATACCCTTCGGAAAGGTATGGATCCACCTCTTCTCACCCCTGCTATGGGTTAATTAGTAAGAATTTATTGCTAAAGATACTGGAAAAATGGTCTGGTCTTTGTATCACACTAAATACCTGACTCCTCCTGCCATGCTTTATCTTTGCAAGAGTCAGATCAGACCAAAAATGGAGTATTGCTGCTATACCTGGGCTGGAGCTTCCCAGTCTCCACTTCCCCACTTTCCAGTCTTGACAGTCCAAAAGCACCTACACAGACAAGATGATGTTTGCCTCTTGCTACTCTATGGCTATTTCCATGGAAAATGTTCTGACATCCTACATGCCTTAGTTCCACCATCTCTAACCCTAACAGCTAAAGTAAACTACCCACATTCCCTTTGCATTTCATTAGTGAGAAGTTTTACTTGAACAGCTTCTTCCCACAAATTACTACTTTTTGGAACCGACTCCCCAGAGGATGCTTTCCAGACCACTACAATCTTAATCTTTTCAGGTCTGGAGTTAACCATTATTTTCTTCAGATATCCCCATAAACTGAAACTCTTGCCGCTCATACAAAAAACTCCTTCAGTAACCCTCTAGCTTGAGTTGCTCTTGAGCCTTGTATAGGGGTGAATGCTAATAAGAATAAAAATTTCTGGTTAAGATGTAATCTTGTATGTTGAAATTATTTAAAATACTCTACTGCTCAGTAATGAATGACTCATCTGGTATGCATCCGATAAAAGTGAAAAATATCCAGGCATGCTCAGGTACAAATGTTTGCTTGGGCTCATTACCTCAATTCCAAAAATTGTTTCACCTCATACAATGTAATTTGGTGATTAATCTGATTAGTATAACACTAATGTCATTTTGATGTAAAATTTTTGCATCTGTGTCTAATATTTTTATTCCAGATGTGACATTTAATCTTTTTTTTCAGATGCGAGATCTAAAGCCAAGCTGATCTTCTTTATAAAAACACTTTCCCCACTATGTCGCTCTCTCTGAAGCCATGGATACGCGGTTTGCATTGGGTGCTGCGTTATAATAAAAAAGGCCTTTTATACCATTCTTATATAACTTCCAGCCAGAGGTCTTTGAATACAAGTTCTTCATTTCACCAAAAGGCACCAGCTGAACCTGATGTTGATATTAGCAAAAATCCTTACTTTGAGAAATATGTCAGGAAAATTCAAGAATTGCAATTGTGAGTATTTAATTGTGCACTATAAATTTACAATTATTCAGTTTGATGATTTTGTCTTAATTTGATTGATGGAAAGTTTGTGTTTTTACCACTGAATGGCATTAAGAGCATTTAGATTTAACTTTGTTCTCCAAAAATATTACTTTTATATTTATTATGAAGGTGAAAAGAAATAGTATAATATTCTATAATATATTCTATATAACAACTGAATAACTAGTAAATAAAATTTTAATGTATAATTATACTTTTAATAAATTATCTCTATGGTATGTGACATTTGCCTTACTATATATATATATATATATATATATATATATATATATATAATTATTTATTTAAAAATATGATTCAACACGCTACATAAGAGGTCTCATGTTTCAAAACAAGAGCCGAAAACTTCAATATAATTATTTAAATTAAATTAAGCTCTGTTCCATTTTCAAGCGAAATTTTTTTGGGAATCCAAAAAAAATTTCACTTTTTGATTCCCCCCCCAAAAAATTTCGCTTGAAGATGGAACAGAGCTTACTTTAATTCAATTTAATTCAAATAATTATACTGAAGTTTTCGGCTCTTGTTTTGAAACATGAGACCTCTTATGTAGCGTGTTGGAATCATATTTTTAAATAAATAAATATATTTATGCTCTACTTTTGTATCGAGCACAATTTTTTAAGAATAATAACAAAAATACTAAAGAACTTTGGATTATTTACCTAACGAGTTCTTTCCTATTTTCTATATATTTTAACATATATATATATATATATATATAAAAATATAAAAATATAAAAGTGAACATAGAAGTCAACACTTAGAGGCGACAGTCTGTTTCATGCTATATGCAATCGTCAGGCTACATATGCTGTTATTTTTCTCGGCTATTTATATATATACGGGTTAGTGGGGCATTGTGGGTATTCTATTATGGCGGTTATTTTACCGGAAGTCGTTTGTTTATTTATTTGGGTCAAATTATATTGCTTGTTTTTTATTTTTGTTTCTTATTTTATTTATTTATTTATTAACGTAGTAAAAAATTTGTTTATATCACTTATTTAACAGTTTTGTTTTGGTTTGAGAGTTTAATTAAAGCTATTTGTTCAATTTTTTGGGTTGATTGTTGTGGTTCATTCTAGCTATTATTTTGGGGAACAGGTTTTAATTGATTATCTTTATTTGGGATTGGTTTGTTTATTTATTTACTTGGATGAATTTAGGTCAATTTATTTTACTTGTATATTTTCTTTTTTCGGTTTTTAAGCAACATAGTATTTATTTATTTTTTATTTCTATTTTTTTATTTTTTTTTTATTAGTATATTTATTTGTTTTTATTTTATTTTTTCCGTTTTTCATTTTTTAGGTTACGTAGTAAAAATTTATTTTCATGCCTGCATTTTGAGATGAGCTCGGATCTTTTATTTAATAATTTATTTTGGTCAGGGAAAGTAATGATAGCTATTTTTTCATAAATAGGATACCCACAATGCCCCACTAACCCGTATATATATAAATAACCGAGAAAAATAACAGCATATGTGGCCTGATGATTGCATATATCATGAAACAGACTGTCGCTTCTAAGTGTTGACTTCTATGTTCACTTTTATATTTACACGCTCTATCTCTGATATTGAGCACTTTATTCCATAAATATAGCATACCTTAAGACTATATTTCTTTATATATATATATATATATATATATATATATATATATATAAAATCTTACATATATACTGGCCATATTTGGAAATTAGTCTTTACCACACTGGAGGTGAAAATTGTTGCCATAGAATTCTCTCCCTTTGCTACTCTAGGTGCATTCTGTCGCCTTGAAACAGTTGCTATAAATAAACACTTGTCAACTGTTATTTCCAGTATTTTAAACTGGAAATCGCCTATTACTGTTTTGGAAGAAGGTTAAACTTCCTTTTTCCAATGCCATTTTGAATTCTTTTAGACTCTACATGAGGTGTAACATCAATTAAAACCATGTTAATATTTTTGCGATTTTTTTTGTAAACAAAAATGGCTACATCATTATCCAACCAAGCCTTTATTCAGGGGTTTTTCTTTGATTAGGACTCCGATGATGATTTTGAAGGCTATCCTTCAAAAGGCTATAAAAAATGCCATGGCAGAGGGAACAATTCTAGAAAGAAATTAGTAAGTAAAGGTTAAGAATATGTCTACTTTTCAATCAATTTAGACTGTCTACAATAACATTTACACACCATTTATTATAATAATATAATCAAAGTTTGTGAAAATGGCTCATAGCAGAAAGTGTTTGGAATCAACCAACATTTAAACAATTTCTACACTCATCAAGTCAAGAAAAAAAATACTTGTTGGCAAACAAGAAAAATACAGTAAAAATTCTTAATAAAAGTGCCTTCAAATATTACTGCAAATGTTGTTATAGTCGGCACTTTTTATTCAAAATAGATAGTTTTTTTTTTTTAATTATTAAACTCTGTGTATTACATCTATGGTTTGTCAGTCTCCAAAAGTGTCTCTGTGTACTTGTAGGCGACAAATTATTTTCCCTTCTGCAACCATTTTCTTTGGATGAGACATCTATAGTCTCTCACTGCTTTTATCGCTATTTCTATGGGGAGTGTCTAGATGAATTACACTCCTTAGTTCCACCATTCCTAACTTTCACGGCTAAGACCTGCCATGCCACGCACATTGTAGCAAACCACCCACATTCCCTTCCCCACTGGTGAGATGTCAGTCCCACTCAAGCAGCTTCTTCCCATGAAGTGCTACCTTGTAGAACTGCCTCCTAAGAGGCTGCTTCCCTGATCACTACAATCTTAACCTCGGATTATCTGTTATCTTACCCACATATCTGCATAAGCTGTACCTCTTACTCTGTAACCATCTACCTCATGTGACCACAGGACCTTGTCTAGGGTAGCATGGCAAGTTCTCCATGATATTGAAAATTGGAAAAAACATGGAAACAAAGTAAAAAAAACATTGAAAATAGGATTTTTGCTGCTAAAAAATAAGATATTATGACAGTAAAACGTAAAATTCATGAGCTGGAACTTGACAGAATCATTATTTTACATAAATTTGCAATACACAGTGAAGTCAGTTACTTATTCATAAGTGCTACAACCTATATTTCTGCAACATGTTATTCTGTATTAGCATAAGAATAGTGTGGCACACACCGTCAAGGGTAGCAAAAATTAGTAATTAGACTTCTAAATGCTGGTTTGATTATCTTTCACTATGAGCAAATGAAAAGCTAGCAAACTTGGTGGGTGTACACTTTCAGCAAAATACAGAGCTGAAGAGCCAACTTTCCGTGATAGTTTTTATCATAATGGCAATAAATTATTTTACAGTTTTTGTCAACACACCACAGATTGGACTCTGAGGGACACGCTTGTGAAGCACAAAAAAATAAAGATGCCTATATAAGTAGGCTATATATTTGTATATTTTACTGTTTACACACAAGTCTCTGTTTTTCATGTGTTTTTATGATTTTCAAACAAAAATGGATAATTGAAATTTACCATCACAGAAGAACAAGGAATTTAACATTTTAGAATACTGAGAACTTGCCACTCTAGTATAGGATGAACACCACAGTAAAAAAAAATCATTTTAAATTATTCCATATTGCATTCGTCTTAATTTTCTGGTGGTGCCAGGGGTGGCAGTACCACCTTAGCCACCGAAACTGTGTTGCCTCCCCTGGTTGGTGGCTGAGAGGGAAGGGTATCACATATGCTTTCACACATATGTAGAAAATTGTGAGCAAGGGAGGTATGTTGTATGATCATGAATGTAAATCTACCATAGAGAATTTAAAACTAGTGCCCTTTCAATACATTTTAATTAAAATGGAAAGATAGTTTTACTCTATTAAAGTGAGAATTTTGTCATATCCTGACTCACTGAGAAAAAGTAAACTATATACAGGGTGTATCAAAAATACCTTTACAAACTTTGGGGGCGAGTTCCTCACACCAAAACAAGAACAAAAGTCCATATAAATATTTGTCCGCAAATCCTTTGTTTTTTAGTTAAGTTTATAGAGAGTTTATGTTAGATGGCACTGTGCTGCCATGTAGACTTGGTTACATTTGTCATCTCTGTACATTTTTGGCTAGTCTGTCTTTAACATTTAATGTGTGTAGTCATGAGTTAACTGAGAAGTGTGAATATCCTGCCATTTAAGAATGGCAAGATATTCATATTGTGAGAAGGTGGATATGATTTTTACATATGGTTGCGTGAATGATAATGGATGCTAGGCTGTATGGCCATATCAGATTTTGTTTCCAGACTGAGGGCAGCTGAGTCATTCAACCTTTGCTGCTGTTTATTGCTGTGTTGCTGAGACAGGATCCATGACACCACAAACTATGGATCAAGGCAGACTGAGATCCACTTGTAAGCCTGACCATGAAGAATACATTCTCCAGGCTGTGAGAAACTTTCCAGGTATCAGCACATGTCAAATGGCCCTAGCATGTCATACATCTCATAGTACCGTCCACATGGCGGCTACTTCAAGAGCAGCTCCTGTATTTGTGTCATTTGTAAAGTGTGCAGGGTCTTTTGTCCTCTGATCACTCACCACGGGGAACTTTTGATGATGGTTTATTGCACAGTTTACAGATGAGGCAACATTTAGAAGAGATGGAATAACAAATTTACAAAACCAACATTTGTGGGCAGATCGGAATCCCTATGGATACAAGCTAGACACTAGCATCAGTTTACGATTAATGTGTGGGCTGGAATTGTAGGTGACTGTCTGGTATGTCCATATATTCTCCCAGCACATCTTACAGGATCTGTCTACAGGAACTTTATTTCAAACACACTTCCAGACTGGCTGGAGGATGTATCCTTGCTAATACAAAGGCACATTGGGTTCATACATGATGGGATTCCAGCACATTTTAGTCACATTGTTTGTGATGAACTGGCTGACATCTACCATGAAAGACATAGGTAGGGGAGGGCTGGTCCCATGGCCTGCACATCCCTCTGACCTCAATCCTTTGTATTTTTATCAATGGGGCCACCTAAAACAACTGGTTTATGCAGCAGACATTAATAATGCAAAGATGCTTCACCAACTTATCACAGGGGCCTGCAAAACTATTCAACACTGGGAGTATTTGAAAGGATCTGTCAGTCAATGATTCGACAGGTGCATATGTGTGTAGAAGCAAGAGGAAGACATTTTGAACATTTGATATTAGTTGCTGTGTTGAGGTACAATGATGGACTTTTGGACATGTGTTTATATGGATATTTTACCTTGTTTTGGTGTCAGGAACCTGCCCTCAAAGTTTGTAAAAGTATTTTTGATACACCCTGTATATATAGCATAGATAAAGTTCACTAAAAAAGCTTGTTCATCACCCAGAAGTTGTGACTATGGTGTTTTAGAGGATTCTTCTAGTAATACTTGCACAGCCCCAAGTGTATTGTCTTGCGGGCATTTGGCAAATTGTGACATTCATGGAAAACCGTTGTTCACCACATCAATATTATGACATCAGCAGGAATTAAAACCATGTTTTTGGAATAAACTCCTTCTTTAGGGTACAGTGGGTTTGTGCAATAGAGCCAAGACAACATTTGTGGGGTTTTTAAAGCTTTTCACCTCAATTATGGAACTGTATTAATGTTATTTGTACTTATTTGAGGAAGATTAAAATAAAACTTTCACATTTTTAATAAAAAAAATGGGTTTAAGTCTGAAAATTCTAGTCTGCTGTGAAAGATCAGAATTCTTGAAAATTTACATTTTGTATTTAGCTCATTTAGACTTCTTCTTGGGGAGATTTTCAGTGCCAAAAATGGATTCAGTCAGAAAAGTGCCATATATGATACACATTTGGGCGATCATGTCTCAATTCATGACTAACTAGGCAAAAGATTTTCCTGCATTTTTAAGTTGCTGTTTTTTTCTGTGACAGACTGGTTGCCAACCAAGGCTATAGAACTCAATTTGTCCTGCTATTCAATTCATAGCATGGGGGGGGGGAAGAGATGGATTCCTACCTTTCTCAAGCAAATATAACGTAACCAGCTAGAATTCAAACTCCGCTCTTTGACTTCTCTTTCTGATCTGTTATAAATCACACCACAATGCACATCCAAAAATAGATTCAGTACCTCCTAATGCACATCCCAAAATAGATTCAGTACCCCGCCCCCCAAATGCACATCCAAAAATAGATTCAGTATCCCCAAAATCATAGGAATAGAGCTTTTGATTATGATTATTTGATAAATACAAGGAAAGTTATATTGAAAACTGATATTTTGGTCATGGCATATGGTATCAAAAGCAAGTAATGATCAGTTTAATGTATTAAAGAAATTGAGTATGCTTTAAATATCTTCCAAAGAACAAATTTTTTCCTTTTTGCAGACTTAAATTGTTTTAATATTTGGAAACTTACACTAAAAAGGAGAAAAGAATCTGTTGGTTTCAATCCATACTGGGAATGACTGCAAAACTCTTTCCCCTTCTCTTCATCAGGAGTACGCAAATGCATGCTTTGATTTTTTCCTAGCCAATAAAATAGGCTGGTTCTTGGTGTCATCTGACTCAGTCCTGGTCTGTCTTGAAGCAAAAATGCTATGTTTGCTTGTCTGAACTTGCTCTTGTCTATCAACGCCAATTCTTAGTTTGTGAACTTTTTGCCATATTACCATTAATTTGCCTTGCATATATTGTTTGCTTGCTTCATATTATTTTTTGTCCTGTTCTTTTCTTTTTCCTGTTATTGCAAATTTTGTCAATTCTGTCTGTTGGACACTTATGTTACTTATTTTGCATTTGACCATGGCTACTTGCTCCACACAAACTTTGTCTCAGACATTTTTTTGTTAGTATTATTTGAAGTTGTGTAATTAGAGACAAAAATATAACTGAAATATGGCAAAAAAATTGTATTACTTTGATTGAATTTTGTGTTGTGGGCCCCCACCAGATCCATTTGATAGAAGTCATTTTTGGGGAAAAAAAAGTGTCAAGTTAAATTTGCCTAGCATTTATAACATTCATTTCAACAAGATTTCAAAGATACTCGAAGCAAAAAGAGGCAACAAAAAAACCCCAACTATCCAGAAGTGATCATTAACGAGTAAATGACTGAACACGTGCAAGTTTTAATTAACTTCAAACGTTCATAACTTGATAAATACTTGCAGTTAGGCAAAGAACAGTTCTGAAATTATGAGACTATAATTTCAGATTAGATAAAAGCAGATGAAATGTTTCCAAATTATGAGGAACTAAGTGTTGTCAGTATAGCAGACAAGAGTTTATTAGCTACATCCTAGTGTTACTTATCTCAACCATGTCTTATCTCCATTTGTGGTTTTGTCACTTTTACTTATTAACAATAAGGCTGCCATTACACATCTATCCAGAAATGGTCATCAAAGAGTAAAGGATTGAACATGTGCAAGTTTTAAGTAACTTCAAATGTTAATAATTTGACAAATACTTGGAGTCAGGACAAAGTTATACAAGTTCTGAAATTCAGAGACTGTCTAATTTCAGACTAAATAAAGCAGATATCACTTGGGAAACGTTCCAAAAATATCAAATGTCCACTCAAATGGAATTTCTTTACATGACTGTTGCTATTATCACTATTAAGGCTCTATTTTTCTTTCCTTTTTTTTCCCCTCCCAGTACAAATCCAGAACTTTACGAGCAACGATTGAAGGATTTAGAAGAGAAGCTGAAGCCTAAAATAGAGCCTCCTCCAAAAGAAGTCCCCAAAAAGGAGACAAAACCTTTACAGAGAAAATCAGTTTCAAAGTTGGTAAGAATTCTTTGCTACCATATTTTTTTTTTTTCCCCAGGGTATTTTTTTTCTTTAATTGGTTTCACCCCATGCAAGGCAGTAAAGGAGTTACTGGGTGTAGAAGAATTAGAAAACAGAAACATTACTAAGGAACAACAACAATTGAAGAGTAATCAGGAAGACAGTAGATAATGATTTACATTGCATTTTGATTTTTGCAGATTAAAATTAGCTAGAAAAAAATGGTGCTGGAAGGGAGTTCCGCAAGTGAGAAGTGTGAAAAAACTGTTAGAATAGAACTTACGGCTACATCTCGCCAACTCAAATGTAAATTGATGAGATCTCGATGCCAATTTCTTTTCTTGCACTTTTCAGTTATGAAACTCTCTTACAGCTTCTTACTTCCCAGTCAACTTTGATCTTCAAAAATTTAAATGCAATCTTAATCATTATCCTCTGTCTTAATCCTTGTTCTTTTATTGTTCTCTCTCCTTAATAGTAGCTTTTCTCATATTCGTAACACTTTTCATCCTAGTGGCTTTATTGCCTTGCTTGGTGTGAATTGATTAATATATATTTAAAACTTAATGTTGCGAAAGGGTAAATGCAGTGTCAGCCAGGACTCTGCAAATGACCTCCCCCTCTCATTGTTACCTCTGCTTTTGTTGTTGTATGTGTTATATGTAATAGGAGTAGGTAGGCACTCCTCCCCCTTCTCTTGGACATGAGTAGAGGCTTACGCCTTGTTTCTTGTTTAGGAAGGGGTTTCCGGTACTCTCTCTCTCTCTCTCACTGGCCTCTGTATCTCCAGTTGCGTTGATCTATCCACTACTCTTCTCCTCATTCTTTCTTCTATCACTCCTATCTGACCTTGCTCCAAATTTTCTGTAACCCCTTGCGTCCTAGTGGCTTTCCGCCTTGCTTGGGGTGAAACGCTTAAAAAAATAAATAAATAAAAAAGTATATATATATTAAAGTGTTTGAAAATCTTATTGAAAATTTTTTTTATATCTCTTCTCTACTTTTTTTTTGTTTTTTGTTTTTTTAAATATTTAAATTTCTTTTTCAGAGTCTTAATGATATTGTGAAATTAGACCTTCTTCGGGAACGTACACCTGAAGAAATTGAAAAGGTAAGAGACTTTTTTTCTTCTTTAAATTTATAATAAATTTTTTCTTCTTTATAATAAAAGTGTATGTATATGTGAAGAAGTGGTCAAAGAATCATGCTGTTTTTAATCAGTAGCTTCCCCTGTGGAACCTAGTGCCACAGCCTCAGTACAGTAGGTGTTGCTGCAGTGGTTTCTGTAGTAAGTGGGTTTTTCCAGGGTAGAGTTGCAAGCCCAACCACTTTTGTGTTCAGAGTTCTCTGTCTCCTAGACTGGTTGCTAACCAAGGCTAGAGACCCTAGTGCATTTGACCTTTAGTGTGTTCACTGTGCTTGTGACTTTATTCCCATACTCTGCTTCATTTTTTTTTTTTTTGAGTTCACCTGATGCCAGGCAGTAAAGCCACTGAGACACAAGGGGTTACTTAGTGTGAAAGAATTAGAAACAGAAACATTGCTTAGGAGTGAGAACAAAAGAAGGGTAATCAGGAGGACGGAAGATAACAATTGACATTGCATTTAAGTTTTTGCAGATTAAAGTTGGCTGGAAAGCATGGGACTGGAAGGGAGTTCCACATAGCATAGAGTTAACATAGCATTTACAGTTACATCAAGCCAAGTCAACTGTAAATTGGTGAAATTTTGACGCCAGTCTAGTACTGTGCATAAATTAAAAAAGTCTATGCTCCATAGCAAAGAGCAATATTTATTTCTGCTTCAAATACAGAAAATGTGGCAAGAGGCCAAAAAAGGGGAATAGAGGAAAAGGACAGTCTTCTTCTGTCTTAATTTTAAACTTAGCTATTCACAAACAGTGACCCAAACATACAACAATATTCCTTACACCAAAACAATGCATTCATACTTACCTCCATAGTGAAGAGTTCATCCGAACAATTACCATGGAAGTATTTATAGAATAGGCAAAGGGAGGCAACCTTACTTACAGCAGTGGGAAAGTAACTGAATCCAAGATGCCAGATCAGGGCCAATAATATTGCTGATTTTTCTTTGAATTTTATCAAGGAGCTCTGAAAGATAATTAAAATATATTGAAAAGTTTCCAGTGCTGGGGAGATAAATGGATTAACACCTTTCTCAAGGGTATTTGTGTGAAGGTGAATACTGGAACCTCAGCTGGAATTTGAACTCGATTGCTACTGTTCCAAGAAACCTTTCCAAGACAGAAACTATGATATGGAATCGGAATTAAAGCAGTGATGACATCTACCTTAAATCCAACATAAAGATTCAGCATGTGGAATTAAATACTAAACACTTCAAATACTTTGGTGTATGAATTAGTCATAATAAATTTAGTAGAGTAGCAAAGGAAATTGATCATAGGATACAACATTCCAATATGCTACAAAACCAAAACATTGACCTGAGAACTCAAGTCAGATTCTTAAATAGTCTCGTTAGATTGGAACTTTCAAGGCATCTAACTCGTTCAGAAATGTTTCCTCAGATCAATGATTGATAATAGCTTCAAGCAAATAGACCCTGCAGGTCTTAAGAAGGCTATTCTTTGTTGGGTTTTGTAGACTGGTGCTACAGAATCCCAAACAAAGGACTGTACCAAATAACAAACAGCATCACTTGAGGACTTCCAAAAGCGGCAACAAATAAAATGGATAGTACATGTAACTAGAAAGGAAAATAATGACATAATCAAAATGTTGACTCTCCACACAACCTTAAACAAAATATTGTTGGAAACTTCCATCAGTCACTTTCCCACTGCCATAACATAGCTTCCCTGTGTCTTTTATATAAATACTTTCATGGTGATTGTTCCAGTGAACGTTCGTCTATGGTACCTAGACTTTGTGAATTTAAGTGCAGTACTAGACTGGTGACAAGGTCTCATCAATTTACAAATGAGTTGGCTAGATGTAACCGTAAAGTTTATGCCAATACTTTCTTCACTTGCACTTCTCACTTGTGGAACTCTCTTCCGACTTCTTGCTTTCTTTTGATTTTTAAAAATTAAAATGCAATATCAATTGTTATCTTTTGTTTTTTTGTTTTTTTAATGTCTGTTCTTTTATTTTTCTCTCTACTTAATATTGTTTTATTCCCATATTCTTTAACACAGTAACCCCTTGCATCTTAGAGGATTTATTGCCTTGTTTGGGGTGAAAGGATAAAAAAAATACTAGAAAGAAGGATAACGGTTATAACAATTTTCTCTCAAATTTAAATGCAGTACTAGATTGCCAGTTAGGTCTCATCATTTTGCAGTTTAAATTGATACATGTAATTGTGGGTTCTATGCTAACAGTTTCTTCTCTATGACTTTTTACTTGTGGAAATCTCTTCTGGTTTCTTGCTTCCCAGTCAACTTTTGATCTTCAAAAATTTAAATACAATGTCAGTTGTTATCTTCTGTTTTCTTGTTCTTTTATTGTTCTTGCTTCTTAATAATGTTTTTCATTTTCTCATATTCTTTTGCACTCAGTAACCCCATTGCATTGTAGTGGCTTTATTGCCTTGCTTGGGGTTAAGTGAGTAAAAAAAAAAAAAAAAAAAAGAAAAATTAAAGAACTCTCCTCTTGTTTCCCAGTCAACTTTGATGTTCAAAAATTTAATTGAATCAACCATTATTTTCTGTCTTAATTCTTTTTCTTTTATTGTACTCTTAATAGTTACTTAATAGTGTTTTTTTTTTCTTATATTCTCTAGTACTCAGTAACCCATTTATTGCCTTGCTTGGGCTGAAAGGATTTTAAAAAATTACTAGAAAGCAAGAAACTATTTTATTTACATTATTCGGACTATTGTCCTCATCTTTGTTGTATTAATAATTGTAAGTTTTGAAATAAAGGTAGATATCTGATAATTCTTATGTTTAAAAAAAGGGTTGTGTAACTCCCCAGATTACAGACCTATCTGTGAGTCAACAGTTCTGTGATGAGGTATTATATACACTATTTACAATATCTAGACTATTGTGCTCATCTTTGTTGCCATATTTATCACAACATTTCAGCCGTTGTACATTCTGGCCTTCTTCATGTGGTTGGAATGTCGAACTGAACCCTCGCTCGCTGGAGTAAACTGTTCTAGTTCCACGTGCCATGTCTAATGGATGTCGGTTATCAGTTATCTCCTGTTAATTCACCTCTCCAAGTTCTCCACTGCCTTAACCGGGCATTGAACTCACACTGTCATGGGATCTAACCAACGCCTTTATCCATTGTGCCATGTGTCCTTAAGGAAATATAGACAGATACTGAGGAAACTGTTTTCTCTCAAATTTCTAGATATCAATTTGCTTTAATCTGCCTATTGATATTTCAAAAATTAAAATGCAGCTCAGCGAAATGTTAAGACCCTAGAACAGGGGTGGCCAACCTTGCACTAGAAAATGTTTTTTTTTTTTTTTTAAGTTCTGGTCAGCTTCATTACATTCACTTTCACACAAATGGTAAAGTTATCAATCCATCTCTTCTCTCTCCAGCTATGGGTTGAACAGTAGGAGGGACTACGTGTAACCTATAGTCTTGGTTGGCAACCAGTCTACTGCAGAAGTGTTGGCCTAGTGTAGGATTTCTTTTGCCCATTTAGTTATGAATCAAAAAACATATGATCACATATATATATGTATCATGTATGACACTTGACTAATACACAAGTTCATCATTACATTCTGTAGTGTCAGCAAATCAAAAAAGTTAAGATAAATTTCCATGATTTGTAAGCAATGTAAAGGGATTTATGAGTGTAAGAAATTGTGTTCCATTGACTTTTTACATATAAGTTAGAAAGAAATTTAACATTGAATAGTTGTAAAGGTATTGTTCAGGTATTCTTTGGTATAAAAAAAATGCTCTAAGATATCTATTATGCAGTGCATAAAATAAACAGTTTTCTCTCAAATTTCTAGATATCAATAATGAAACTTTAAAGAAGGTGTGTAATAATTTGTTAAACTTATACACTTAATTTTAATCTGCTTATTGTTGTTTAAAAAAACTGAAACAGTGCACTGAAGTGTTAAGAAACACCTAGAAAATGTTTTTTGAAACATAAAGTGAATACAATGAAGCACACATTCCAAACGTTTTTGACAATCTGTTTAAATAAGTTGCAGAAATATGTTTTATTTTTTTTAGGCTTGACAACAATATCTTCCACAGGTTTACTTGCACATTCAGATAAGATATGGTGCAAGAATGTACTTACAATTTTTATGTGAGTTATGCAAGTCAATATTTATTTTATGCAAGTTTTTTCCACATATTAATTAATATGTAATGGGGCTTCTTCAGGTGCTAATATCTTATCAGAATGTGAAAGCAGTCATGGTGGACAATTTTTTAGTGTTTCGGTAGTGGTTCTGAAAAATAAAATCTTACTTTACTTAAATTCTAAATTTTTGATCCATTAAATGATTTTTTAACTTCCTTGATTTATTCAGACACCTCTTGTTTATTACATATTGGAAAACATTCTGAACCTTCCAGTTATTAAGACCTCTGACTTGTATATTGATAAATGTTCTGGCTCCCCTTTTATTAAGATCCTCCATTTGTTGCATGGAAAGATGAAGATGATTCTGATCCTGATGATGGTGCTGACAACTTCAGCCTTAATGAAATGATGAATAAAATGGGTGGAGTTGGATAGGATGCTGATGAGAATGAGGAAGACAGTGATGATGAAAATCTTCCTGACTTAAAATTTTACCTGCACCCAATTATTAAGAATCCTTGTTTATTACAAATTGGGAAATATTCCAACCTCCCCTTTTATTAGGTAGCTATGAGTAGGATTCTCATTTGAATTATTTTGACTGGTATAAGCATTAGATTTTTCTAGGTTGATATCAAGCTATTTTTAAGGAATTTTTTTTCTTTGAAGATAGGAGAGTGGAAGTGCTGATCTTATTTTTTTATTGTTTGTTTTTTTATTTTGTTTGCTTCTTTTGGGATTGAACTCAATTTTTCTTTGTCAATTTTTTTGTCTAATGATGTCATACGATATAAAAAAAAAAAGATTCAAATGTTACTGAATTTCTGAATGCAAATTTCTTTCTGCCACTTCAGATATGGATGCAGTACCATAGTATCAAGGACTGTGTTTATGGCGTCATCAAAGTAAGTCTCTTCTTAGAAGAAGTGTTTTTTTTTTTGTTTTTTTAAAGTGGGGAGGGCAGGTAAATACTTTAGCTTCCCCCATAAGGCCTTGTTTCATTTTATAGGGATTACCCCACCTTGGGCACACCCACTAGGTAGTGTTCTATTCAGGACTGTAAAACAAACTATTTACTCTTTCTATTTTTGCTCAGAAATGTAGTAGCAATAACATGGGACTCTTCCTCTCCAGGAAGATACTCCCCAGGCAACTAACTAGTTAATTTCAACCCAACCATATGGTACACACACACACACACACACACATTACAGTAAAACATATAAATATTTTTTTAATTTATATACATGCAAATATTTCCTTTTCCTTGTGTTGCTCTTTATATAAATATGTATAAAACTCCTCCATGTGTTGAATTTAATTACTTTCCTATCTCTGTAACATAGCTTCTCTGTGCCTTTTCTACAAATATTTTCATAGCAATTGTCCTGTTAAGTTTTCCTCTTTGGTACCTTGAATTTAAGTTCAGTACTATATTGGCAGTTAAGTTTCATCATTTTACTGTTGAAATTGCTAGTTGTAAGTTCTATGCTAATAGTTTCTCCTTTTGCACTTCTTGCTTGTGGAGCACTCTTCTGGCTCGTTGCTTTCCAGTCAGCTTTGATCTTTAAAGCTGTGCAGTTCCAAAGCCTCCATTTCATATTGCCATCCCCCACATCAGGATGAGTAGATGGGAAAGGAGTTGCTATGTAGTAGAGCTGACAGCAGAAGTTGTCCCATGTATATCACCTTCTTCACTCCTAGCAAGTAAGCAAAATCCTGTATAAAACTTCTATGCATATGGACAACATGGTTTGCATTCTTATTTCTCAACCTGGCATTTGTCTTTTATTGTATTACCTTGTGAGCATACACCACACCCTTCCCTAGCTTTCAGTACATACTGATGAGATCAGGAATTGGAATACAATGTGGGGTAATCATTGACCAGTCAGTAGAAAGCTTGGGGGAGAGTTGCATTATTTGTTGATTTCATTCCGTCTGATCAAATTTTAACAAAATAGTCAAATATTAGCAGAAAGCTACAGGAAAATTTTAATAAATAACAAAATGTACTTATTGATTGATTTATTTTCTATGGATTATCAACCCTTTGCAGGTTATTTAAAGCCAGAAAATGTATTTTTAGATTATAAGGATTTTTCTTCTGAGATGATAATTTAGTGATATAAATCTTGCTAATTAACCTATACTTGGCGGAGAAGAGATGGATTTATACCTTTCCCAAGGGTATTTTTGTGTGAGTGAATATAACAAACCCAGAAATCAGATCTGTCGCTCTGGTACAGCTGGAAGAAGTTCCTGTGGGCCATAGTGGCCAAGCAGGTGAGAACAAAGGACAATAGCATGGTTTAACTTGGTATTTCCTTGCTGGAATGAAAGCATCGATGCTGGCTTTCATCTAGGAGGAAACCTCAGACACACATTTTTGAACAGGATGATTAAAAACTTCATTTCAAGGGACGTCACGAAGGAAATCCCAATCTGCTCGTTGATAACAAAGATTTTCTATTGGTAGGAGGTTCTTGGTTGGTGGGAGAGTGGAAGGAGATGTTTACAGACACAACCACATGATCAGAGTTGCCAAAAGGGCAGAGCTGCAGAGTATGACATGAGTCAGGGGTAGAGGTAAAAAAAGAGATTGAGAAGAGAAGCATGTATGGGGGGAAGTCAACCATTTGTGTGAGAGATTGAGAAGTTAAGGGTTTGGATCATGGCGTTCTATATTAATAGAGTATAGAACGCCATGGTTTGGATACACAGTCAAAAATAAACCTCTCCCTACCAAAAGCTAAAATAAAAATCTGCTTTCTCATCACCAATGTTTCACCTTTAATTTTTGTTAACAAAAATTTGGATTACCAATGGGTTCACCAAGTGGTCTTTTAGCATGCATATTCTTTGAAATTTTTGATTCTTGTCCTTTCCAAAATATTTTACCTAAACAACATATTTTCAATATATTGATGATGCTTTATTAATATATGCCCACAAAACTACTTTAGTTGAACATATAGAATTCATTTTCAAAACCAAAACTTTACCTTTCTTAGATATCATGTTACACCATAATGACAATAGCCTAAAACAAAGTGTCCATCACAAATCAACTAATAAAAATGGTCCATAAATTTCTATTCTCATCATAACAACAAAATAAAATCTGGAATAATCATTGGATTTTATTTAAGATCACTCAGAATTTGTAGTCCTCAATATTTACATGAAGAGGAGAAATTGAAACTACTTTTAAGCTCATCCAATACCCTAATTATTTCAAATTCAACATGCAACAAAAAGCTTGTAAAATATTTCAAAATAGAAGAGCAGACCTTTCTGTCAAACCCAGCAAATCAGAATATATTATTCTACCAACCAACTCTATCACAACTACAATTGAAAAGAATTTATCTAAGCTTAACATAAGATTTGTTACAACTACTTCTAAAACAAAGACTTAATAAATACAAAACAAAATAATAATATGTTAAAACTTGGAGGAATTCATTCTATCACCTGTAATAATTGCCACTAGGAATACATAGGAGAAACCTTAAGAAATTTAAATAAAATATTATATGAACACAAAAGGTATCTTTTACAAAACAATACACTCAATGCTCATTGTAATGAGTCTGGCCATAATTTTGATTTAATGCTACTTTAATTAAAGGATACAACAATTTACTAAGATGAAAATGTATAGAAAGTGCTCTAATTATGAGATCATCCACTGTAAATTTATGTCCAAGTTCTTACTACATTATACTTTTTTGAGTAGATCTATTATTAAAATGTGGGATATTTAATAACAAAAGTGATAAAAACATAAACAAAAAGAAATTAAATGGAATCAACTAGACTATATACCTAAAATACATTTAAAAATAAAGATAAAAATCTAAATTTAAAATTTCAGTGTCCACTCTCCTTCATGCACATGTGTAATCACGTCAACATAAACATCACTTTAATCTGATGAGGTCTTGAAGGACAAAATGCATTGCATAAAATTTTTTTTCTACATTGTCATAAATTCTCCTAAATTTTTTCTTGATATATAAAAATTTATATATTGTCTCCCACACACACACATTTTATATATATATATATATATATATATAGTCATCCACATACAAGCCTATTTTGCTGTATCATAGCTCGTCAGTGTGGCTAGACATCCAATTTACCTACTTCAGGCCAGGATTGAGACCTGACCTATTTGGTATCAGTTGGAGATTCTATCCCTAAGCTATCAGTGCACAGCAGAGAAAGAGAAATTCTAACATATTATATATGAATGTATACAAATGCCAGCAGCCAGAGTACTCTATTCATTAATAAAGAGCGGTGCATTAATAGTGGTGATGGCTTCTGTTTTGAAATTACCTTTTTCTCAATAGTACTCGATTGAAATGGCGAGAGCATATATAATGTATATGTATGTGTGTCTAAAATTTACATCAGTACTGCTTTTGCAAAATTACTATCAGTTAAACACTCAACATTACAATATTTTTAAAAAAAAAGTATTTATTTTTTTATATTTTATTACCTGGTATGAGCATATTTTTATGGGTTTCCATAAGGGGAATCAATTTACAATGAATTTACACCGTAAACTGGACCCTCAGTTAACTTTTAAAATTTAATAAAAAGAACAAAAAGAAGTGATGTTAATTGTCTGGATTTCTCAATCTATTGGAATATGTAAAAATTTTGGAAAAAAAAAAAATATTATTTCTAGTTATAGTGCCTATTCTACAATTTCACATTCTGGTTAACTGATATTTTCTTTCTTTTTGATTTAATATCTTTATTAAAGAAGTTTTTTTTTTTTTTTTTGATTAGGAGAATGACTATGATGAAGTGATGGCCAAATCCAAACTCTGCCCTTTTGTGAGTATATTTTATTTGGAGTAATTTGCTTTCTTTAATTTTGTCCTGATTACTTTTAATCTCTGTTTATTATCAAAAGAACACCTTTGTTAGATAGCAATAAAACAGAGACTACTACATTCCACATTGCCTTGGGCTTAGATCAGGGATTTTCACTGCTGTGCCTTGAGAGGATCATAGGTGTGTGCCAAAAAATTTTTTAATGGCCCTTAATTAAATGATTTTCAAAAGAAGTTCAAAGCACAATAATGAACATATCAAAATTAAAATCCCTTTAAATTGATTATACGAACATACCATTGATGAAAAAATAAATGACCAAGGATTGTAATTAAAATATTTCACAGCAGATATTACATCATTTTGGTTATCCCTTAAGGGTGAATTTCCAAATATTACCAGAAAAGCAATAGAAATACACTATTTGTGTGAAGCAAGCTTTTCTGTAATAAACAATATTAAAATCAATCATGACTAGAATCCTTGGAAGAAGATTTAAGCCTGTCCAAAATTTGACCCTGTGAAGAAGATATTCTAAAAAAAAAAAAAAATTAAACTCAAGATATCTCATTAAATATTAGATTATAATAAATAGAATAAATAAATATTTTTTTTTAAATTTTATCTTTTTATTACAATTTTGTTTTGTTTGTGTTGTTAAATAAATCATAAAAGTATATACCTTTTTTTTTATTTAAGTGGGCTGAGAATTATTGGTTCAAGTGTGCCATGAAAAAATAAGGTACCATCATTTTCGAAAGTTGACTTGCATGAGGTGTAGTACATCATGAGGCAGGCCACACTACTAAAAAAAAAAAAAAATCAGGGAAATTTTCATTAAAGATTTGGCAGCCATTTTCCCAACAAAAGATCATGCGGACCAGCATCTGCCTTAAAGATGGGGAAAAATGTTTTTTTTTTGTTTTCTTGGGAAAAAAGATTCCTTCTATAATTAAATTTTGGGATAATATTATTACTGATGACAGTGTCATTGTGTGATTCACACAAACTGCTGCATGTGATTTGTTTCTAATTTATTCTTTTGAGAATACAAAAATATTTGTAAAAGAAGTAGTATATTTATTCTCTAGATAAAAATACTTATCATTGACGTTTCCGGTTTCTGAAGTAAAAGATGTTTGCACATATGATCTTCCTTAGCAAAAATTACCAATGGTTTAAAATGATAAAAACATTACCTTCGACAAGAAACAATGTTTATGTATGTGATTATACATGCATGCATGTGTGTGTGTGAACAAGAGAACGAAAGGAAATAAACACCTTTTTAGTAAGTGTTATTTTCCTCATGAAATTAGGTGAATCATTCAGAATGCTAATCAGGCTGCATGTGGCCCATGGGGGACTGTTTGCCCATGACTGGCTTAGATGATAACATCATATGCACTTAGTTAAGTATACACATTTTTTATCATCATAATTTGTGTGCTGCAAAAGAATTATTGGTTCAAATGTGACATGGGATTAAAAAAGTTGAGAAACACTGGCTTAGAGCAAGGGTCGGCAACCTGCCGGCTGGATCCGGCCCGCAAAGGCCTTTTGACCATCCCGCGAGCCTGATTACCAATGACTCTATTTTTAACATGTGAGACGAGGCTTTTGAATTAGACTATCTGCCAGTTATCTTTCATGAGACTTATTTTACCAAGTTGTGTTGCCTACGTTTAATGTGAAATAATGGATACATATTTGTTATGACCCTCGGCTACATTAAAAGATAACAGAAGCGAAAGGAACGTTAAAGTGAAAGAGGCCAGGAAGGGACTGACATGCGAGGTAGCAGAAATCTAAAGACAGTTAAACATACGCGCATTATACATACATGCCTCATGAATGTGTGGATGATACCGCATGTGTATGTATGTAAGTGTATATGTTTGCAACTATTTGTACTCGTATGTATGGGTATATATGCTTCGTTTTTGTTTGGTGTGTGTGTGTGTGTGTGGTTTGTTTGTGGAACAATTTTCAATAACAGTTTCAAACCTACACGTCATAATTTCATCCATTTCACTTTGGTTGATTTTTTTCACTTTGATGTATTTTGACGTTCCTTGAGGAAAAGTAATTTTTGTTAGGTGTTTTTTAATTTTAGATTTTCTTTTGTTTTTCTGATTTCTCAATGTTTATTTTCATTATGGTTTTAAATATTTAGGTTGACAGGAGTCTGCATATGTAATTTTACTTAATTTTTCATTAATGGCATTCGTCCGGCCTGCGACCCATCATTATAACACGATTCGGCCCGCGGGGTCAGATGAGTTGCCGACCCCTGGCTTAGAGGATAACATTATACATTCTCAGTTGAATGATTGGCTACTTCTTCTACATGCTTTTTAATAAAAAATAATAAGCAAAATCAAGGTTGTGTATTATGCACAGCTACAAAAATCTTTAAAAAATTATCATAAAACTAAATTAGCATATTATTATTCTATATTTAAAACTATTTTTTTTTAAATAAGAGTAGGAAACGCTGACTGTAATGAAATTGGAGAGGTACAATTTATAGGGGTGCATATTATGCATGAGTAGAAGCATTTTCCCACACATTCAACACAATTTTAAGTGTGGTGTATCATACATGGGGAATTATAGTAGTTGTTCTAAGTTTTCCTTCTTGATGCCATGATTGCATGAATTTAAATGTGCTACTAGATTGGCAACTAGGTCCCTCCATTTAACTGTTGAACTCACTAGATACAACTATGTTCTATTCTAATAGTTTCTTTTCTTGCACTTCTTGACTGTAGAAATCCCTTCCAATTTCTTACTGGCCTGCCACCTACAATCTTCAAAACTTTAAATGAAACATCAAGCGCCAATTTCTGTCTTCCTTAAATCTATTCTTTTATTTTCCTTTCTCCTAATGCCTTTTTTCTTTCACTATCAACAACCATTTGCATCTTAATGGCATTCTCACCTTGTTCATTCTGTTCTTTAATAGCCTTGTTAGACTCTCATATTGATGTCCTGCATGGTTTCCAACTCTTTCAGAAAAATCTAAACTATACGCTATATACAACTATTTTCTCTAATCAATGATTAAAATGGCTTCTGCATCTTAAAGGAGACAGTTCTTCATCAGATCTTATAGACTGGTACTAAAGAATAACAAACAAATAATTTTACCAAATAACAGTAACCATATCACTTGAAGATTTTCAACAGCAGCCAGAATTAAAATGGATTGCACATGTAACTAGAACAGGAAATGATATGATAAAGATGTTGATGTTCCACATTACTTCTAGAAAATAAATTAAGAAAGCAGCCTCCATCAACACTGGAAAGTGCTATAACAGTTACTGGACTTGAGAAGTCAGTTTTCCTGAAAAACTTTTATAGAAAAATTTCATAAATTTTAACCAATGCTTACCGTTTCATCAATGAATACCAAATGTTTCCTTATAAGGAAACATCTATTCAAACTATTATTATCAATGCAACCAAAATGGTTAGAAATTGGTCAGACAAAGATTAAGAAAATGTGTCCTTCTTCAGCCTTTCTTATCCATTCCACATCTAATTAAAATGGAAGCTAAACAAATTTCTTACTTCCCTACTGCTTACAAACTTAAAAAATTTAAATGAAACGTCAATTGCCATTTTCTCATTTACTTTTTCCTTTTCCTTTTTTTCTTTTATTGTCTGTTCTCCTCACTAAGTCTTCTCATTCTCTTCCCCTCCCAGTAACCCCTTGTGTCTTAGTGGTTTTATCACCTTGCTTGGGGTGAAATGATTAACAAAAACAAATATGAATATCATGTATGGCCTCCAACTCATTCAGAAATATCTAAATTATCATCTGTATACAAATATTTTCTCAGATCAATGATTAAAATGGCTTGAAGCGAATGAATCCTTTAGATCTTAAAGAAGGCAATTCTTCCTCAGATCTTCTAGAATGGTGCTACAGTATCATAAACAAAGAACGTTACCAAATATCAGAAACCACATCATCTGAAAACTTCCAACAGCAGCAACAGTTAAAATGGATAGCATATATAACTAGAAGGGAAAATGATGAATATTTTTTAATATTGTTTACTCAATACAAAAACCAAGAGGCACTCAAGGTAGAGGGTTACTGAATGAGGTTGTTAGAGCATAAAGCACTCACCCTCTAAAAGGAGCTACCTACTGGATGGATGTTTGCAGTTTCAAATATGAATGACCAATGTCTACCTAGAGACTGGAATATAAACATGGCCAGTGTCTACCTTGAGACTGGAATATAAGCACAGTTAATGTCTATCCTGGAGACTTGAGTCTAAACATGGCCTGAGTCTACCAGAAGGCTGGAGTTTAAACATGGACAGTGTCTACCTAGAGAGTCATGTATATCAAAAAATTGGTTTTTAGCATTTAATAACTCAGCAATGGTTGATATATCTTAAAAAGTGCCAACCCAATTTGTTTAACTTTATTGAAAGAAAAATGTTTAAGGATTGATGAAAACATTTACCCAGCCTGAATTTTTTTTTTTTTTTTTTTTTTTACTTTTCTAATTTTTTTTACTTTTTTCTAATTTTTTTTTTACTTTTCCTAAATTTTTATAACTTTTTCTAATTTTTTTTTTTTTTTTTTACTTTTTCTAATTGTATTTGCCTTTTTTTAGTTTGTCTATCCTGTGCCTCGTCAGGATGGTTTCGAGTTTATCTACCAACAATTCTCAGGCAATGAAGTCTATTACACACCCCTGTCTCTGTTACAGGTGAGTAAAAGTACACATTAAAAAATTTTTTTTTTTTTTTTTAAAGAGGTCCCTCAATCAATGTGATGCCCTCCAGATGTCATAGCTGGCAATGGGTAGAGTAACTAAAGATATTAGAATTATACAGAACATTTACTGGGAGCCAACTACCTACATATAGATAGAATATAAATTGAGCAAGTACACAAAAAACGAAAGGGGCATAAGACAAGGATGCAACTTCTCACCAGATTTTTTTAACCTTTACAGCAAGGCAATACTAAGAGAACTAGGATTTCTTATTATTGGGCACAATGTTAACAACATAAGATATGCAGATGACAGAATGGCAGGAACTCCTAGACAAAGGAAGAAAGGACTAACCATTAATTGTATGAAGACAGAATGTTAGACAGCAATAGAAAAAAAACAAAGATTTAAACTACAAACTGGTGGTGTGAAAATAAAAAAAAAGTATAGAAATTTCAATTACCTGGAAAATGTTTTAACAGACTACGGAAATGTGACACTGAGAACCAAAGACATTTTGGAATAGTGAAAGATGCCTTCTAAAATCTAAACAAACTATTAAGGAACAGGAAAATTTAATTCAATTACACTTGAAGAATACTATGAATACTATGGCATAAGTTTTAAAAAAACAACAAGAACAAAAAATACACTTAATAATGAGGAAAGGAGACTTGGAGAATTTGATACACACAATATATATTGAATAGCCTACCTAATGAGCTTGTGTCAGTGGATATCAGAACAGTGGGTAGTAGTGATAGTAAAAACATAGACATTGTTAAGAGCTATAAAGGTAAGGAAGTTGTGGGGAGCCACAATTACCCATGTCCTGAAGGGACAACATAGCACATAAAAGAAGCTAATCATTTATTTTTCAGAGTGAATAGATTATGGTTCTCTTCTTGGTTCTTATTTTTAAAGATTTGATAATTAGCCACGGAAAGGGAATATTAAATCATGACAGAATGAATATTATTCCAAATTTATAGACTTTGGAGTTGCCTTAATAATGGAGGGTGAAAATATCAAATAGTATCAAACAAGTGTCACTTTATGAAAATATTTTGGACACTTATGGACACACCCTTGTAGAAGATGGGATGTTATCTCAATTTTACTGTATATTCTTGTGGATAGGTTGCACTTTTTTTACCAAAAATTTCACAAAATATTATCCACTCAACATAAATGTAAAACAACAGTACCTTGTCATCATGATTTCTGAGAAATCAGAAATGATACCAATAAACACTAAAGCTGTGGTTTGTCTCCGTATAGAAAAAATTTATCTATTATATATACTAACTTACTGCTTTAAACTTACCTCATGCTGCTAGATTCACATATCCATCAAAATAAATAAATAAAATTATAAAATATTCATTGATCCATCAGTTACTGTTCGGTTGGGGCTCTTGCACTAGACTGATTTAGAAAACCTGAAAATGCATATATAAGTTAAGGAACCACATGTAAATGTTTATTGACAAAGAAAAAATAGTCCCACAATTAGTTCTGCAATATATATATATATATAGTAATAATCTTATAAATATAAGAAATTATACTCATTTGGAAAACCTTGGGCACTTTGATATGTAAATAAACAGGGGAAAAAAGAAAGAACAGAGAACATGTATGTCAGCCAAAGACAATTGTCTAGCATCCAAGTTCAGAGTCCAAAGAAAAAAAAAACGATATCTGTAAGTAAAATAACTAAGTAAAGTGCTCAATACACTAAGTAGAGCAAACCAAAATGAATCTAAAGAGTCAAAGGTGTATATATATATATATATATATATATATATATATATATATATATATATATATATATTGTCAAAAATACATTGGAAAATATGACTTAAAGAAATGAAATATATTCTTTGAGATAATTTTCATTAATGGTTGTTTCATATAAACATTAAAAGGCTTTCTTAAGTGTTATTTACAAATAACAAAGCACATAAATCTAGTACCCAAAGCGTTTGCACTATTTTGCATTGAGCAGCGATAGTTGGTAGCCAGATTTATAGTTTTACAATTTTAATTGTAAAACTATAAATTAACAAATTATAAACAATTAAAATTTACAATTTTAATTGTTGCAAACTAATCATAAGTAAAAAAAAAAAAAAGTGTTATGAAGCAGATTTTAAATCAAAAGTTGACTCGATATAAAAATAATATGTGCGACCTAGCTGTGAGTCAACAGTTCTGAGATGAGGTATTATATACACTATTTACATTATTCAGACTATTGTGCTCATCTTTGTTGCCATATTTATCACAACATTTCAGCCGTTGTACATTCCAGCCTTCTTCATGTGGTTGGAATGCCGAACTGAACCCTTTATTTCGCTCGCTGGAGTAGACTGTTCTAGTTCCACGTGACATATCTAATGGATGTCAGTTATCAGTTATCTCCCGTTAATTCACCTCTCCAAGTTCTCCACTGCCTAACCTATCTGGTGGGGTGACCTATCCATGAAGCATATATGGTAAGTGTTTCTGTGGATGGTTCTTTTTGAAGTCTGGTCTTCTAAGTTGCATCCACTTAGGCCGAAGGGGAACAGGGAAGTAAAGAAGTAGATGAGGGGCTTTTGGAGAGCAAGGTACAACATACTGTACAATAATTATTTGTAATTATGCTAGCCTAAATTTGCAGTTATGCTTGGGATCAGAGAGTTGGTGTTCTAGTCCATAGCAGATGATGAACTTTTCTGTCACATTTTTTCCAATTCCAACCATTGATATTGCCAGCCACAAGTTGGGATATGTAGATAGGAGACAAATTGGTAGGGGGTAAGAGCTGATCTATGAGATCAGCATAGCAGATGTAGTCCCAAGTGTCAACTACCTATATTGCCAGTCGTAGCCTGGGATAAAACATTCCAATATGATATAGGAAACAAGGTTTGCATTCTCATTTCTCAATGTGGCACTTGTTTTTCATCTCATCACCTTGTGAACATGCAGCAGGTCCTTTCCCAGCTTTTACTTCACATTGACGTGAATGAGAATAGAACACAGTGTGGGGAAATTATTGGTTGGTGGAAATCTTGAGGAAGGGTCATATTGTATGTCCACAATCTGGCATAGTCTTAGTGCAAACAAGAGAATAGCAAAAGTCTGATAGATTTCAAGTAGAAAATAAGGGACATTAGTTGCTCCTGGTACTTCTCAAAATAAGTATGTATTTTTATTCACCTGGTGTTTAAATATGTCAATAAATCAGCAGTTGGTTATACTTTTTGCTATTACCCCCATCTTGACTATATTCAGGGATTTTGTTAGACTAATTCTTTACATATACTCAGATAGCCATATAACATTACCTGAAAAGATAGCTTGTTTCTAGAGGAAGTTTTGCCCAACACCACAAGCTGCTGCAAAATCAAATTATTAATATAGGATGGGTGTCTACTTGGGAGTACCAGGTGGTGTCAATTTGTGTGGGTGGTATAATGAGCATACAGTCATATATTGAAATACCAGTTCTTGTATGATCACTGAAGTTAAGCATTAGTCAAACCTGGTCTCTACATAGATGGGTGACTGCTTGGGAATACCAGGTAGTGTAGGCTTGGATGTGTGGGTGGTGTAATGGATAATGGCTTGGAATTGGAAATCAGAGAGCAGAGTTCCAATTCCAGTCAGGTTTATTATATTCACTTTCACACAAATACCCTTAAGAAAGATATGAATCACCCCCCCCCAACTCTGGGTTAATTAGTAAAATTTTTATCATTATTATCTCCTAAATATTCTTACAATCAAAAATATTTTCTGACTTTAAATAACTTGTAAATGGTTGGTAATCTGTAAAAAATAATATATATATATATATATATATATATACACACACACACACACACACACACAAGTCTATCAATTTTAGCCCAACCCAAGATTTGATCAGGTGACTAGAATATCAAACTTCTTTTTGAATCTATTTTTGATTGGGATGAGTATCTTGTAAATGTTTTTTAATAGCATTTTATGCATACAACTTTTTGAATTTGGCAGCGAAGTCTCATCATTTTATTGTTTAAATTTTTAGCTGTAACTTTAAGTTCTATTCTTAAAATTCTGAAATTCTTTTTCTCTTGCACATCTCGCCTGTGGAATTCTATTCTAGTTCCTTGTTTTCCTCTAGACCAGTGTTTCTCAACCAGGGTTCCCTGGAACCAGAAGGTTCTGCAAAAGTCTCCAAGGGTTCCGCGAGAAAAATGAGATAAGCTAATGCACTTTTGACTTTTTATTTAATTTCATAAACGTAATATTACTAAACACACAAAATATATTCTTGGTTATTGCAATATTGTAATATAGACATCATCCCATCTGACTTATTATATTATTAAAAATAAAACAATCTGGGAATAAATTTAGTGATGTTTGTATGGCACCAGTGTTCACTAGTCAGTGCCCACTCAACAAACAGGATCTGTACTTAGAGTTATTTATTTCTTTGGGTTTTTTTTTTGTTTTTACAGAAATACCTATAAAAAATTGATGCAGCAATTATCTATTTTTGTTCTGTTTACATTTATATTCTAGGTATATGATATTGATTACTCATGTTTATTTTTTATGTTTGAGTTTAGAAATTTTTTTGTGTGGATGAAAACTTCCTGATGAAGTGTTATAAATGAACAGTATGAATTTTATTTAGGATTACCAAAACATTTGACAAAGAAGTATTAATTTTTCCTTAAACCATTTATTCCAAAATATATATTATGATATTTACCATGTGAACTACAATGAAAATAAAATGAGAAAGATATAGTATATAATTTTGTCTTTGTGCAGGGGTTCCTTGAGACATGTCATTTATTTTAAGGGTTATGGAAGGCTAAAAAGTTTGAGAAACACTGCTCTAGACTATGAGCTACAAGAACTTAAATGCAATGACAATTGTTATCTTGTGACTTCTTGAATCTTGTTATTGTCCTTTCTTAATGTTTTCACACTTTCATTCTCACTATTGTCTTCCATCCTCAGTAACCCCTTACATCTTAATGGTTTTTATCACCTTGTTTGGGGTGAAAAGATTAAAAATGGCAAAAACAAAAAAAAATACTTGTTACATGTGCCAAAATGTCTACAAATTATTTGCTTATTTACAGAGACACAAAGAAAATGCTCCGCCTTGCTTGACACTGCAGCACTTTACTGAATTGAAGGACGAAAAAGGTAAATAGCATTTAACTCTTTTGGTCAGTATGAGGGCTCACCACTTTCCCCAAGTTTGAAAGATAGAACAACATTAAGGACCTGAGCATGTGTGGCATATGATGATTAGCCATGTGAGTACGAAGACCAATCAGTAAAGAATTGGTAACAGCTGTGTTGGTCTTAGAATAGCATGGATGGTGATACCTAGGTTGTATGTGCATTCTCTGGTCAGGAGGATTTTTTTTCACTCTGTACAACGCCTGGGAGCCACTCAAGGTAGTGGATTACAGAGAAAGGAGCACAGTTTATGCAAATATGTGGGGAAGATAATGATTAACTTTAGAGTTGAGTTGGTTAAGATTGTAGCAATTGGGAAGTCATTCTCTAGAGAGTCACTTTCACAGAGCAGCGATTCATGGCAAGAAGCTGCTAAAGTGGAATTTTCTTCCCAGTGGAATACAAAGGGGGTGAGGGTGTTTTACTACAATGTGCATAGAATGGTAGGTTTTAGCCGTGAAGATTAGAACTGGTGGAACAAAGGAATCTAGTTTGATAAAGCAGTGAGAGGCATCAATGTTTCGTCTATTAGAAAAAGGGTTGTGGAGTGGAAAATAATTTGTGTCAAAAAAGAATGCAGAGACGTTTTTGGACTCTGTCGCAACTAGAAAGTGAAGACTGGGCAGCCCCTACCCAAAAATTGTTGCAGTATTCCATTTAAGCCCAATCTGGCTCTTGTAAGGGTTGAAGATAGCATGAGGAGTCCAGTATTTACTGCAGTGGTACAGGGAACTGACCATTTTTCCAGCATCTTTGGTGATAGATCATATGTACAAGTTCCACTTGAGGTCTGGATTGAGTCCAAGACCTAATAGTTGCTCAAGGCACTGGTTCCTCCATGAAGGAACATCCGTTCATAGTGATTGGTAATAGCTCAGAGTCCAATCAGTGATGATGGAATTCAACTAGTTTGGATTTCGAGGCATTGAATGTAACCAGTTTTTCTCCCACTAAGATACTAGATCAGAGTAGAGACCTGCTGCCAATCTCTCGTACGGTCAGTGAAGAAACTGTATTCATTGGTATGTTGTTGAAATGTAAAGATATTTTCATTTCCTCTTGGCAAGAAATCAAATTGCCAAAATTCATGTCTGGTAAGCGGCAAGTTTTTAGGGAGATGCAAGAAAAAAATTAACCAGAATTTTCAAGGTTATAAAAATTATCCATCCTAAGAATTTGGATGTTCAAATTTTGGCTTAATTGAAGTTTAATTCACCTCTTGATTATTGTAGATATATATCGACAATAATATATAGAATAGTAGTAGGCACAATGTTTCGGCCAAGTATCTTCTGGCCATCATCAGTTGTCCATTATTTTAGCTGATATGGCATGACTTATGATTATTATGTCCATGTGATGCCTTTTCTTCTTCATTCCTATTGAATGAGGATATATTATTTCATTACTTGATTGTGTGATTGAACTCATGACCTTTAGATGACTGCAACATTTGATTGACCAACATCTATATCCACTATGCCAATGGAGAAGATCAGGAGGTGTATTTTTGTTTGTGCACACTATGCCATCAGAGGGGTATTTTTTATGTGTATCTATTATACCACCAGAGGATATGGCTGGAGGGGGGGTTGTCTGTGTACACTATGCCACTGGAGGGTGCCAGTATCCACTAAACTATCAGAGGATATCAGGATTGTGTTTTTGTTTGTATCTACTATGCTGCTGGAGGATGTCTGGGGGTGTATTTTTCTCTCTGGACACTATACCACTGGATGGCATAAAGAGTGTGTTTCTGTGTGTATTCATAATGCTACTGGAAAATTGTCTGTGTACCCTATGCCCCCAAGGGTACTAGTAATGTGTTTTAACCTGTATACACTAAACCACCAGAGGACATTGGGGGCGTCTTTACACGAAGCCACTGAAGGATATCAGGAGGGTCTGTTTTTGGGGGTCTTTAACTCCAGTGTTAGATTGGTTTCAGAATTTTGCTATCTTTATGGGTTTGTACAACTTGTTTGTTAGCTTTTGTTTATTGAGATGAGGCATTGTTAATATGCTTTTAATATTCAAACTAGCATTCTCAGTTTTATTATAGAAGTGACATTTTGACCAAGTACCCTTTGACCATCTTCATTATTTTGATTACTTTTCCTATATCAGCTAAAAATAACACCTGAATGTTTATATACATACACACAAAAAATTCAAAATTCTTCGTAAATACTAGGTGGTCACTGAATTGTACTAAACTTTTCCATTTATGATTAGTAAATATAGTTTTTACTTAATAGCAAAATCACCTAACTGGTACAAAGTAATACAGAATTTTACAAGATTTAAAATTATAAGTTATTCTAATTAAAAAAAATAAAAACAATTTTTGTAAAAATTCATTATTCATAAAAAAAAAAAAGTATTTAAGACAATAGAGTCCATAATATATATTATAAAAGTAATTAAAAGCCTTTCTAATTAAATAATGTTTTAGTTTAATTCTCATTTTTTATTTTATAATTCAGAGCAGATTTTCAGTAACTGGAGCTTCTGTTGTAGAAGGAAAAATGATTTAAATTCTCCAAAAACTTCTGATTATAACTAATATAAACATTAAACCATACAAAAATGTATTTCTTGAAATTTCATAAAATTGAATAAATGGGGGTGTGATAACAGATGTTTAAAAAAAAAAAAAAAGTATTTTTCCCAAGATTTTCTAAAAATGAAACATTAAAAAATAAATTATTTTAGAAATAAGTCCTGAAAGTTTCATTAAAATACAACAATGATTTGGAAATTCTTGCAAAAATTAAATAAATGTGTTTTTCACTGCAAAAAATTCTTCAAATTTCCTATACTAATTTATAGACACCTTCTGATGCAAGAAAAAAAAATTAACCAAAATTTTCAAGGTTCTAAAAAGTATTTAAAAAATATTAATAAAAAACCCTTTCTTATTATTAAGAAGAATGACCAAAGATTTTGTTGATAAAACATTGTTTTTATAAGGTTTGGAGCTTTTTTTTTTTCATAATGTATGCTCCTTTCCATTAATGAATCTTAGGATGTACCTACATATAACATTCATTTCAACAAGATTCTGATGACACTTCCAGCAAAAAGACAGAAAAAGCAACTTTTCAGATCATCCGAAACATGATTAAATATATGCGAGTTTTGACTGGTTTCAAATAATCATAATTTGACAAATAGGACAAAGGTTATCCTTCACTTAAGCAGCGTGAAATAATCTGTCTTGTTTCATTTCAGCCATGTCACATGGTAGCCCAAGTGCCCCACAGTCAATTGTCAGTCTGAAGGAATTATTATCACAAGATAATGTTTTGCAAGAAGATTGGTGCTTATTGAAACTTGGCAATCAGCTTAGGGATTCTGTAACTGTGCTGTATTGGTTAGCATGACGATGGCTTATTTGAAACGGCCTACATTGCAACCAGTCATTTGGGCTAAAGGCCTATCAAGATGCAACAAATGGATATTGCTGTGTAGTTCACCATTATTGTAATTAAAAATTATTACGAGTAAATGTATATACCTTGGCAGTAGGACAAAGTGCTGAATGGAAAAAGAGTCAAACTGACTAAATGATGACATAATGTTGAACAAAAATATTATCATGATTTTAAAAACACATTTCAAATAATCAATTAAGCTATTCTAAACTTCTTAGCTTTGGCATTATTTAATAAATAAAAGGCTTAAAAGTGATTAAGCCTCCATGATCATTAGTTAGTGGTCCGATTTGTGGTGGGGACATTTATTATGCTCTATTTTATTACCAAATTATATATGAGAAAACTCAGTTCATATTCATGTAGAAAGTTTTTTTTTTTCACTGGAGGTTTTTATATTAGTTTAAAATTTAAAAATAATTATTTATGAGCAGGATACTTGCATGCTAAGTAAAAGGTATTCTATTGTAGACACATTTCTGGCCTTTCATCATTTAGTCAGTTTGACTTTTTTTTTTCCATTCAACATTCTAACTGCATACGATATACCTCGTTCTTATTGATTCTATGTTGTTCAGAGAATAGTGGTTTATTTTGCGCCGCTTAAGTGAAGAATTAGCCAAAGTCAGACCAGTTCTGGAATCTTCTGTCTATTTTCAGGTGAGATATAAGCACATGAGAAATGTTAAAAAGGTTGGGGGGGGGGCGAATGTCTGCTTGCAAGCCACTCTGTGTGGTGACCTGACAAAAATGGTTACATTTTGGTTGAAAAGTTTTTTCTTCCACTCTATTTAGCAGGTATGATACCTTCAGATGTCTGTGACCTTAACAGGATTCTCTTAATTAAAAATTCCCTTAGAAGACTGTCAAAGGTATTAAAAAAATAAATAAATTAAATAACAAAATTATTGAAAGATGTCACAGAATCATGGAACAAAACTGTAAATAAGTTGTTAGCAAATATTGTCTTCCTTTGCTAGCTTTTAAATTAATGAAGACCCATGTACAAAGTCAACATATAAAATTTCATTAAAAAGTGTTTGGAAACAGGTTCATTCATTTCTAATTGTCTATTTCTTTTGCTAGGTGTGGTTTTGATGTCTGGAGATTATGATGACAGATATTTGGTAAGTAGTATATATATATATTAAAGGCAGATTTAATTATAGAATCTTATTTGAGAAAAATAAAGATTATAGTTAAAATATTTGATAAGTAAACAGATATAAAATTAGGTGAATTTGGCATTGTAATGCACAAAACGTATCATTGTTCATACCTAAGAATCTAGACCAGGTATATCATTCATGGTTAAATAAGGAACAAGTAGAAGAACCTTTATAAATTTGACAGGTTTGCTGGGTTACCTCCTCCTAATTTTTAAAACTGCTAATAGAGGACTCTTTCTGGACTATGAATACTTGATATCTTTTCTCGCCCTCTTTTTCCGCTTACATGTCAACATATATGTCTCTTGGGGAAGAATGCGTCCTCTTTTAAGAAACGCATTAACAGTGCACACACACACACACACATGTATGTCTGCACCTTTCACTTCATTTTTTTCTGGGATTTTCTCCTACACCAAAACTACACTTGCGCAAACAATTCACTAGCTTAAATGTTTTCTTCATGTTCATTAACATGCAACAATATTCTATTGTTTATGTAACCCTTTATTATTAATACATTATCATTTGTTTGCATATATAAGTCCTTGCTTCTTTGATTTTTTTACATGGACTCATATTCTGAGTCTGCCATGTTGGTTGTGGGCATTTCAGGAGACACACGTGTTTATCTCTCAATGCATACACTGGCTTGCAACAGGTTTTCTTATTTATTTTAGGATAGGAATGTTTTGGAATGAGAATTCAGAGAGCCAAGTCCAAATTCAAGTCAGCTTCATTAGGTCCACTTATGAGAAAATACTCTTGGGAAAGGCATGAATCTCTCTCCTCCCTTACCTATAGGTCAAATAGTGGGACTTGTATCTGGGAAAATCATTGCTATTCTTAGAATCAAAAATGTTTTGACTTTTACACATTGACAAACACTCACAGAAGTGTTCAATATCCGAATTAGATTGTATTTGAAGTTAGATTTCATAGTTGACCTCTGGCTGTCAATATGTTGAATAACCTACAAATGGTTGATAAAACATAAAAAATCAAATCAACTATTTATTTAGCTTCATCGGAAATTGAAAGAATGGGATAGACTTGTTTCAATTTTTTTTTTTTTTAATTATTAAATTCTAATTTAATTTCTAATTTTTATAATTTTCATCATTTTTCAATTGAAATGGTGTAAAGCATAAGTTATCCTAAACTACATATTTCTTGTATTGCATTTCTATCACACTTTTCCAATTTCTTACTTTCCAGTCAATATTCAAAAATTTAAATGCAATGTCAATCATTATCTTCTGTCTTCTTAATTTGTATTCTTTTTCTTCATATTCTCTAACATTCAGTACCCCCCCTTGTGTCTTAGTGGCTTTATTGCCTTACTTGGGAGGAATTGATAAATAAAAAAAATTATCTTTTGTTTTCATTGGTTGGGTCATTGTCAAATGTTCATGTTTGTGGCATTATTATGTAGGTTTTAATATTTGTGGGCATTCTGTGGTGTCTGTGTGTTTTTGTTTTTTTTAACTTAATCATTTCACCCCAAGCAACACAATAAAGCCACTAAGACCCAAAGGGGTTACTGAGTGTAACAGACTACAAGAGAAAAAAATACTATCAAGGGGAGAGAACAATAAAAGAGTAAGACAGTAGATAATGATTGACATTGCATTTGAATTTTTGAACATCAGAGTTGACTGGGAAGCAAGAAGCTGGAAGAGAGTTCCACAAGCAAGATGTGTGACAGAAGAAACTATGGTTACATCTAACCATTTCAACTGTAAAATGATAAGATCTTGCGGTCAATGTAGCATTGTGCTTAAATTCATAAAGTTTAGGAACCACAGAGGAAAGTTTGTCAGAACAACTACCATGAAAGTATTCATAGAAAAAGGCAGAGGGGGCTACATCACAGCAGTAGGTAAGTTATTGAAGGCAAGATGCCAGGTCAGGAACAATAATGTTGCAGATTCTTCTTTGGCTTTTATCAAGAATCTCAATCAGCAGTATTCAATGCATGTATAACACTCTGGGTCAGTCCTGATCTATGGCAACCAACTATAACACTTTTCTCTTGGACTTTGGTCAAATGCTGCCATTGGGTTGGTTGCTTGCTCTGCCCATATTGTGTTGTTTGATCACAGAGCTGGCAAAGGTCAAATTGTCATCAGCAATTCTGATGTTGGTCTGTTCCCAGCAAAGTTATGTCACAAAGGAATTTAACAAAAAAATATCCTTCTTTAAAGAAAAGACAAGAGTTATTCAGAGTCTAGTCCTATGAAAATTTATATACTGTTTTTATACAATGAATTGGTTCTGAGTACAAAACATTAACTCTTTCCGCCTTGTGTTTTGTCATGACGCTATGCTCAACTTGGCTATGTCTGGAACAAGGCTAGACTTGGTTCTCTTTGGCAGCAAGTTACATGGGATTTAGCAGAGCAGTTGTCTCTTGTCTGGAACAAAAGTGGCATGAAGGTTGACATTGATATAGGGACACAGTGGTTTTCATATCTCTAACCAGGGCCTCCTGGCTGTTTGCCTCTGGATAATTAATTATACTTCCAAATTTCTGATGGGTAGTGGTCACAGGATATTGATCCAACCAACTCTTTCCTTCTCTTATTTTTGCCTCACACTAACACTTCTAAATGGATTTAGGCAATTCCTCTGATTTTCCATCAACTATTCTGACTCTCAGCCGTTTGGCATGGCTTCGTTTATGGTCATTAATTAAAATTATCATTTTAATTTCCCAGCCTAGCCTTACTTATAAAATTAGAAATTTACCAACTACTTCTTCTGGTCAGTCACCCCCCCCCCACCAGGTCATTGCACTCCAATTTTCCTAGGTCTGTACACAAAGAAACTCTAGTCCCTTGATTTGGTTACAGACCAAATTTTCTCTATTCTACTTATATTTTGTTTTCATAATTGGTGCTTTTTAAGCTGCCTCATTAATCAGCTGTCAGATATATATATCTCCATATGGCTTTTGTGGTAATATCTTTTCTTTAAAGTATCTCTGCCCTAGAAAGAAACCAACTTTGGAAATAAAAAAAGTCCCTTTTCCTTCTGTCCATTATTCTATTTTTTAACCCTTCTTGTCTTGTTCCAATCTATGTTTTTAATTTAACTCCTTTGTTTCTGTTTACTAGTGTCACACATAGACAAATGGTAGACTTGTAGATTCTGGCTAGAAAAAATTGCCTAGTATGACACTTTTCTAGCAGCATGCCAAGCAATTAATTCAATATAATCTTTCCACTTCATGTTGACAGAAAATGTTAGCCTAAGTCATGCTGATGGAAAGCAGAAAGGAATCTCTTAGATGATTGATAGAGAGCAGTTTCATTTATATAGATATATCAAATTCTGTGATTTCTGTCCATCTGTCACACCCTTTAAAGTAGCCATACATTGACTGATTGAAACCAGATTTTGGTGAGAAGTACAAACAGGTAAGTGGGTACAAAGTACAATATGTAAGCTGCAAAAACAACTACATTTTGAGGTGTTTTCGTACCATTGCAAACACCTATTTTTTTTTTTTTTTTTTAACAAGTATTCAGTTTGCCCTGCATTTGTGAGGACTATAAACAAATCACAAGGCCAAATGCTTTAAAAAGTTGGAATTTGGCTCCAGAAAGAAATATTTATGCCTGGCCAGTTGTATGTCGCATGCTCAAGAGTAAGAAAACTTAAGAATTTCTTCACTGTTAAAAAAGGATAAAGTAAAAAAATGAAATTTTCTTCAAAAATATTATTTACCAAAACAAAAAATGGCTTGTAAATTTTCATTTCTCCAAAACAAAACTGCTTTCATTTAATCACCACAGAGAGCCTTTTCAGTTTGCTATCTGTATGACTGATGTTAATACTCCAGAACAAGAACACTATGCCTTCTTGGCTTCATGTTTTCCAGACATGAAGGGGAGCAACCCTATTGAATCGATTGTTATATCTAATACAAGGAAAGTTGGTTCACTGTGTTATGCTAGAAAAGTTTGGACAGAATTCATCTTGCACATTTATATATCTACCATTTGTCCATACATCGAATACAGTTGCCATATCTGGTCCTCATGCTATACATCTGAAGATTCTTGATGTAATCCAAAGAAGGGTCTGTAATCTTGCTGCTAGTGGAGTGGCTATGTTTACACTGTAACAGCAGCAAGAAAGCTGGTGTGATCATGTGACCACAATAGTACCAATGATAAGCACACATGAGCAAAAGGTAGTGTGATCAATCTAAAGATATGTTATGGCAGAAATGCGGGTAATTTTTAACTTACCCTCATACCATGAAATGTTTATAAATAAAATGAAATTTGCTGTATATTTTAATAGTGACTTCATAAAAATTAATCTTTTTTTCCTCATGATTTAAATCCTGAAATTTAAGTATTTTTCTTGACGATGCAATTTCCAAAGACCTACAATATGACAACGTAAAAACATTGACTAGAATCTGAAAAAAATTTTTCTTCTGTAACATTTCAGGATAAAACAACTGCTCTTAATTTGGTGCGTCAGTTAACAATGTATTATGGTCAAATAGCTGCTGAACGATTCACATTGGTTCGACTTTTCAACCACGTCCCAGAGAAATTTGACATCAATGATTTAATTAAAGAATACAAAGGAATGAAGACATTTCTCGAATCGTCCATTACAGCAACTTAACTTTTTTTTTCTCTTAAGACTTATCTCCCCTTTTTGTAAATAAAATGAATATAGGAAATAAAGCATTGAAAAAAATATCAATCCAAGATGTTTGTTTTTATTGTGCAATTTGCTATTAAAAAAAAAAAAATATTAGAGGCATTATCTTTTTTATACAATTTCACCCCAAAAATTCAAATTAAATTCATTTGAATAATTTTTAAAATTCTTAAACTTGTTATTTGACAACATAAAAAACTGTATCATATTCAAAGTTGAAGGAACACTTCAGCGTGTTATAATGGTTAGTGAGTGTGTCCCACTAAATCAATTACAACTGACTAGCGAGTTCAATCCTCAATGGGTGCTCCTTAATTTCGGCTTTGTGCCACAACTAAGCTATGCTTAGTAAATCACTATATTCAAAGTTGAAGCCCCCTGCATCATCATCAGCAATGCTCACTACTATTATATGATTGCCTGGGTAGAGGGAAAGTATTTGAAAGCTGTAGATAGTATGGCAAACACAGTGTCACAAGTCATTGTGACTGAGAGTTTGAGTGTATTGGCCTTATTCAGAAACTAACTATCTCTCATATATATATATATATATATATGAGTTGCAGTATAAACCACAGATTAGCTCTGAGGGTTTTTAAGGGACACAAATGGGCCTGTCTTTTTCTGATTCTAAGTATAAATGTCCTTTTTGTTTCCATTTTCCCCAAAATCTCAAAATTGCTCACATTTTCGGTCCCTGGAATTCTCAACATCCTTCTGTGGAACCATCTTCATGTGGGGGGGGGGAGGATATTACATTAGTTCAGTACTCTCTTGTTTCTAACAAAATTTTCCTGTTTTTTAATACTTTGCTTAGCTTTGGAAGGCATATTTTACTATCCCACTGCACTTTTGGATTTTGATGTCACATTTTCTGTCCTTTGTTTTGACTCTTTGAATCATAAATGTGAAGATATGTTTTTTTTTTTTTTTTTTCACTCTCACTATTGAGAAAATCAAGATAAGAAATTACTTTGAATTAAAACAAAAAAAATTGTTTAGAACTAAATTGAAGTTTATATGAAATCTAGTGTCTAACAACTAAACTCCAATTTCTTGTGAGTGAAGTGATGATTAGCAACCCTGTAGGATAAAACCTATCAAAGGATAGAATTCTTGAGTCAGTAGCCATCTAACTAGGAAGTGGTGTCTCAATAAAATCACTCTGGAGAACCACTTCAATATCAATCCCAAGTACATTTTTGACTCTTGACAATATTATTATAAAGGATAACTGTGTGAAAGGGATTAAGTCTTTTGGGATTGACTCCTTGCCTCAGATGGACATGTGCAACAGGTTTCACCTGACCATCATCCAGTGACTGTTAACAAAACTATAAAGAACAACAGTGTGAATCGAGTCAGATTACTTGGAATTGATCCCTCGCCAAGTCACATCAAACAAAATCTAGTTTTAGGGATATGGAATGTCGGAACACTAAATCAATGTGGCCAGTTAGAGAATATAAAACAGGAAATGAAGAGGTCAAAGGTTAATATTTTAGGTGTATGAAAAACAAGGTGGCTAATCAATGGAGATTTCATCAGTGACAAAGACTGAGGATCACATAGGCAGACAGAGAAAAAAAAATGAGAGGGGAGTAGGACTTATATCAGAAGAAGAAATCGGTTCCATGATACTATTAAATGTTGGAATTATTGTAGCTAAACTCAAAGTGAAGCCTTTTAACATATCCATTATAATTGTATATGCACTGACAGTATGAAAGAAGAAATTGAAAAGTTTTAGTTTACACTAGATAAGGTTCAATGCAAATCACAAGAAATTACAATCGTCATGGAAAACCTGAATAATATAGTAGTCAAGGAGATGGTGAAATAGTTGGGCTAGGAATTCGTAATGAATGTGGAGAAAATGGGTTTAATGGTGCCTGGAGAACAATCAGGTAGGAGCCAACACCTGGTTTCAAGAACACCCAGACATGGAGAAGACCAGGAGGAGAAACAAAAAAAGAAAAAGAAAGCACAAAAGCAACAAAAAATTAAAGCTAAAGAAAAAAATTAGAAAAACAAAGACTAAGGAGAAAAGGAAAGAAAGAAAAAAAAGAAAAAACACAAAGAAAAACACAAAAGCCAAAAAAAAAAAAAAAAAAAAAAAAAAAAAACAACAAAGTCAAAGTCAAAAAATAGAAAACCCAAAGACAAATACAGTTTGTTAGATAAATTGTAAATCTAGAAAACCATTTCAAACATCAAAATCTGCAGAACAGCAAAAAATTTGCTTCTCTGCAATAATTTATTTCACACAGAGATTCTTGAAATAGTTAACTTTTATCTTGCATCTGTTGCTATAAGAAATGCAAATAAATTGATAAATTACATAATCCACTGATAATCAAATGCAGGATAATCACTTCTTTCATTTGTAAGTTGTCTTGAATCACTATCAAAATTACAGCCAAAGAAGGCCTGAAACCTTAAAAATTATAATATATATATATATATATATATCCCAGTGTTTCTTTACAAACAGCATCATGTTGCTTAACTTGTGTAGAATTTCTTGCTTACCAGTGATAGACATGAATAAAAGGAGGAAAATTTATGATAGGTTAGAAAAAGTGATGACAGGATTAATGATTACTGGTGGGCAAAATGTCTAGATTGATGCTTTAAGATAATGGCTAGGAAAATATATCAACATTGTTCACCTGACCAACAAGAAGCAGAAAAGAATTTTGTGGCAAAAAGAGAAGAAATGTGAGTGATTCGATTTTGTGAATGTATCGTGATGAATCCTAGCGATGTAGGTGTGAAGTGGTAGAAATAAAGAGTGGGGAAATTCATCTGAACATTTGCCATGGAAATACTGAGAGTGTAAGTGACAGGCTTGGAATATTGTCTGTGGGGGAAAGAGGTTGCAGAGTGGAGTATAAGTCTCTCCTCACAAAAATTCCATAAACAATTTTGAACACTATCAAGCATGGAAAATGTAGATTGAGCAGCTCTAGACCAGACATGGTAGCAATACACTATTTTTGGTTTAATTGCATATATAGATAAAGCATAACAGAACAAGTTGAATACTTCCTGGAACTGACCATTTTTTCAAGATCTAACTTACTGTGAAAGTATCATACATATTATTTAAGTTTAAGTTTAAAGTGCAAATGGTGCAATAAGGCCGGTCAATTTTGAGACTGTAGTATTGCACTCAATTTGGAAGTTGGGGTTTGACATGATAAAAAAAATCTTAGCATTTTTTTGAGGAAACGAGTTTCAAGATTAGGTTTAGGTTCAAAATTGTGGCATCGCATTTTCATTTTGGTCATCAGTTAAAGCATCATAAAATTTATTGTTTACTGAATCTTTACAAATTGCATATGGATAAGATGCATGGCACAAGCACATTATTACTAAATCATTATGACCTTTATTTACGACCTTTAAGACCTTCATTCACTTCAAAGAGAAATTATACAGAACAATTTAGATATATTATGATGTAATGTTATACAGTGCAGTAGTTTTAGTGCGATTTTCAATAAACAATGTAAATTTAAAACATTTTGTCTTACAATTTTTGCCCAGCAGTATTATGGTGTTATATACACTTTTATCTATTTTTTTATTTTTATTAATTATGATCTAACAAATCTTATTCATTGAGTAGCCTTTTTTGTAATCTTTTACAATTTCTTTTTTTTTTCTGTTTTTACATATCAAATACAGTAATCTTTTGTTTGTGGGGATTTATAATTAGAATTCTGGTTTGGATATAATTTCCAATTGATGTATCTAATGCAAAAAATATCAACTTTATTTAGATTTATTTTTTTAAAGTAAAAATTGAAGTCAGTTTGTAAACAAAAACCTGCAAAAATTAAGTAATTCGGTAAATTTTTTTCAGATCTTTAAAACTAAATGCTCAAAAAATGGTAAAAACTATTATTCTAATTTTTGAAACCCCAGTTTTCACACTGAGTGCAATGTTGAATTTCTAAAAAGTGAAAAATCAACCTGCCTTTTGCCAATTTGCAGTCATGGTCATATAGACAAACAATTGTAAATCAAATAGGTCATAAGTTGATGAAAACCAGGAATTTCCTTTATAAAAAGGTGCGTGCATACATAAAAAAAAAAAAAAAAAAAAAAAAAGATGTCTTGACAAAAAGCAGTAAACCAAGGTATTTCCAAAAGATAACTTTTTTTTTTTTTTCTTTCAGGTAATTACTGTAATTACATTGCTCATTATCAAGGAAGAGAGCATTAATAATTAATAAAAGGTTATTTCTGCTCTGAATTTTTCAGGTTCTGAAATTCACTCCTAAAAGTACCTTTGTTGGCTATCATTGCACCTCAGGCTAATGTTTTCAGCTGGCATCAAGTGGAAAGATTATATTGAATCAATTGTTAAGTCTGCAGCTAAGAAAGTTGGTTCACTGTTTTGTGCTAGACAATTATTCTTGACAGAATCTATCTTTATATTTATAAGTCTACCATTTGTCCTTGCCTTGAAGATTGCTGCCACATCTGGTCTGGTGCTCCTGCTATATATTTAGAGATTCTTGATAAAAGCCAAAGAAGAATCTGCAATATGATTGTCCTGACCTGGCATCTCTGCTTCTGTCTCTTTTCCACCACCATAATGTAACTTCCTTGTGCCTTTTCTATAAATGCTTTCATGGTAATTGTTCTGATGAACTTTTCTCTATGGTACTGAGACTTTATAAATTTAAGTACAGTACTAGATTGGCAGCAAGGTCTCAAACCCACCTGTGGTTTATACTGCAATTATGCTGAGTGGACCTTAGTTACAGTTTCTGGGAGAGAGCAAATTATCTTGTGTGATTAGTCTGATCAAGGCCAGTATGCACAAACCCTTGGTCATAATGACTTGTAACTTCGGGCTAGCACAACTATCAATAGTTTTTCCAAAAGCTTCATCTACCCAATGTTACTCACAAGGCTTGGGTCAACTTGTATAGTTTTCAGGCAGT